TTTCTTAGTAACTCGAATTTGTTCGACTAGTCACACAGCGATTATGTACAGAATAATTCCGACTCGAGTGGAATGGATTTGACTAGACTCTACTTCTTTCATTGTCTGAACTGCACTGACTGCTCCCGACGGTGGTTCCCATTTAAACAGCCGCGCGGTCCTTCTGGAAGATCTTCGTCACTGTTTCTAGGCCTGTTCTGGAGCACCCATCGCAACTTCCGCTTCCAGACTTTTCTTTAGCGATCGCCGTCCGGCCGCCGTCACCGACGATGAGTCACCTATCGTCGCCGCACACATTAGAAAACCCATAGACGTCGTACCGGGGAGGCGCATGGATTTATTTCGTAACACTATTATATTGAGAACATTACTTTTATTTAGGTGTAATCTTCCATCTCTCATTTAAGCTAGAATTGAATGTGCAATGCAAATCTGCTCATCATACCACAAAATTACAATTACCCGAAATATGGGTGTGTACCTACAAAGACAATTTGGGAATTGTGTTATGAATTTTTTCTACTTCCCTTTCATAACCAAACTATTAAAGCACTCTAGTAGAACTGCACATGTGGAGAGCTGGAGCTTCCGAACAAGTTTAGATTTAACCACTGCTCGGTCTAAACATATCGAGTGCTACTTTGGGCAACTTCTCGTATTTCGGGGGGCGTAAAATTGTCTTCAGCTTTACCCATTGTTAATAATAAATTTATTGTTGCGAAAATTTAAACTTCAAATGTTACAATCTGATATTTTTTGTACCAACTATAACAAAATACTCCAAAATTTTAAAAATTTAAATTTTTATTTTCAATTTCAATACAGGTTTCATCCCTTAGAAAACCCATCTGACGACTCGGTCTCTAAATTTGAGGTTCGTGTTCGTCATTCGTTTGGACCGTGTCCTAAGAGACGTCTTCGGGAAATGGAAGACAAGGACAACGAGAAGTTTAGGAGACTGTTATAAATCTATCAAAATATTTATAAATACTGAAATTACTTGACGTTTAATATTTATTGCGATTCGTCATAGCTGAGCAAAAAGTCTTATAGATTTTTCTAAAGTCTACGAGGACTGTTAAGAAAGAGAAAGCATTTTTTTTAAATTCTGTGTATTTATTTCTCAACATTCTCCTTTCAACTCTATACACCTCGTCCAGCGATATTCTAACTTTTTTAACCCTTTCAAAAAATATGGTTTATCAAACTCTGCAAAATAAGCCTCTACTTCATTGATTACTTCTCCGTTTGAACTAAACCGCCTTCCTCCAAGCCATTTTTTTAGATTTGGAGACAGATAAAAGTCACACGAGAAATAAAAAACATATTTTTGAGTATCGTGTTGTTCAAAGAATACTATGTATATTAAGAAAAAAACAAGCCAAAAATTATGCCCCACCCATATCCATCTCAAGCTCAATTGTAATGAATTTTTCATTTGTTGTCAAACCGAGGGGCGGAGCCTAATTGCAAAACCCATATTTCCTACCAAAAATTTACCATTTTAAACACGTTTTAAGTTTCTAAGAATAAAAAAACATCACAATTGAGAGGGGGTGGGTGGGCGGCGTTTATATTTTGTTTTTTTTTTTTCTTAATATACATGGTATTCTTTAAACAACACACTACTCAAAAACATGTTTTGAATTTCTTGTAAAGATATAAGTTTTTAGCAGTTAAGCTCCACCCTCTTGATTCACGGCGAATAAAAAAATCATCACAATCGAGACAGGGCGGGTGGGCGGGCTTATATTTTGTCTTTTTGTTTTACTATGTGTAGACTTGTTTCCACAACATGAAACTTCAAATATGTTAAAAATGGAAAATTTGTATAAAGAATGTCGATTTTGTCATTAGGCTCCGCTCCATAATTGCAAAACCCATATTTCCTTGCAAAAATGTACCATTTTAACCATGTTTTAAGTTTCGTGTTGTGAAAAGATGGCTATGTATATTAAGAAAAAAAAAGGCATAATATGAGCCCCACCCACCCGCCCTATCTCAATTCTGATGATTTTTTTATTCGTCGTAAGTCGAGGGGCGGAGTTTAATTGTAAAATCCTTATTTTTCCTGGAGAAATTACGATGTGAAATATGTTCTTAAGTAATCGTGTTATACAAAGAAAACTAAGTGTATTAATTATAAGAATTTCTGTCTAAAGTTTTTGTTTTCCTTTCAAGACAGAATCCCTGCAAAGCGTTTTCTTTTCTCCACTTTGTTTAAATCTGGATGTCTAAGGTAAAAATAAAGGCTGATTCGTAAACCACAGGTGTAGAAATAGGTTAATTAAAAAACTTAAAAAGATTTAATTTTGGAAAATTTTGAAATGACGTGATTAAATTATCGGCGAGGATGACTGGATGCTCCTAAAACACATCTAACATTTCAAAACAGTCAATCCAGTAGTTTCGCCAGCAGATGTCAAATGCACGGAAAAGGGGACCTACTTTTTCATTCCCTAAGGGTAGTTAGAAAATTCTAAATTTTAAAATTTTCTTCTGTTTATAACGATTTTAACTTTAGTATCAGTATGGATGTTTGTGGCTTTAGAAACTGATACACTGAAGACTGCAAACACCGAGTAGGTACTTATCGTAATTATCAAAAACGTAAGACTTTTCAAAATATTTACCAATATTCCATGACGATGTAGACCACCCAGAAGGTAAGATATTTCAATAGGTCTCTTTGGTGTTTCCACTCGTGTCTCAGTGAGTGGGCATTTCTTTGAGAGCTTGGAATTTTCTTTGAAATTGAAGTAAAGCACCATACGCAATATACTTAATTCTTAATCAAAACTTAATTTTCCACACATTAAATTGGCGATATCTCTTCAAAAAATTATAAAATTTAACATCTACTAAAAGTTAAAAAATAGATAATACCAATCACAGTGTAAGAAAAAACATCCGTATAACAAAAATCAAACACATGAGCTTTGCTAGGGAATGCTAACGGATACATCAGCGGGCGAGTAAACGTTCCGCTTATATTAGTATGAAAAGTTGTTATTTAAATTGGATTTTTTTGCAAGAATCTAGATACATATGGGAAACTCAAGGCGGATTGGTAAACCACAAATACATGAGTATGTTATTTCATTAAACTTAAATGGTATTTATTATGAAAAATTTGAGGTAACGCGATAAAAATGTTGGTGGGAGTGATTAGACAAATTTTGCTTCGCGTCTACTATCTACACGATATTTCTAACGTACTTACATATAAAATTTAAGAACAATCGGTCCAGTAGTTTCCGGGATTATTTGTCTAATTTAAATTGACATAAATAGACCGACATACAGATGGACACGCAGACGACAGACAGACAGAAACGGAAGACCACCCATTCGTCCGATTACAGTGCAGTGGAAAGAAATTGTCAATGAAAATGACACTAGAATAAATCACTAAAACTGTTACTGGCAACGTTGCCAGTTGTACATATTTTCGAAGAAATTGCCGTGTGGTGGATTTTTGATTTTAGAACAACATATACAGGATGATTCAGAAATAGCGTACTAAATCAGCTGTACATTATTAAGTAAGTACATCTATGTATACTGCACAACAAGCGCCCAGCTTATAAAGCTTTCATATTACTTCTGTTGTTATAAAATTTTTCTTCTGTAAATAAATTGCCCTAAATTACCTTTAGTGTGGACTCTTTGTGAGAAAATTTTCATTGAACTGGAAAGAAATTTTAGACGAATACGCCTCAAGATCTGATAAATATTTATAACTTAAACACAACATTCTCAAGAACATTTTTCTTCACAATTAGCCTCGGGATGTTACCAAGAACTGTGTTTGGGAAAGTTGTAGTAAAGTTATTTTGTAATTATAAGTGCAATTTCTGATATTACTGTGAAAACATTTGTGCTACTTATGAATATAGTAGGCCCTAATTTACAGTTTTTGCTTTACCAAATGTCTTAAATGAAAAATCCGAAACTAGAATATTTCAATTTAACGTTGTAGTGATATCATCTACATTTTTGTGCGATGCAAATCCCGTTCGTGTTCGATTAGTTCCAACGAAATGGAAATAAACTGTTTTTTTTCCGAAAGCAGAAAACTGTTCAGTCGTTTCTGTCGAACATTTCATAAAGCTGGAATGTTTACTAGCACGGTTGTTTCATCAAAAACCACCACTGAGTTGTGTGATGGACACATTAGCTCCAACTGTACTACAATAACTTTCTTGGGATACACAGGCCGACTTGGAATTTCTTCTTAAATGCCTTAGGTCCACCATCCTCGCAATATAAGATTGTACACGACATTAATGAAGTAATTTCTCGTCATTCTTGTCTCCCAGGCTGTTAGAATGATTAATAGTATCAGGCATTGTTTATTACTACGTCATATTTAGGCTGACACGACTTCAGCTCTCAAGAAAACAAATATATCAAGTTCGCGCATCGCGGCATTTCGAAATTTAAATTCAACAAGACACTTGACCCAGCGATAGTAAAATCTTTTCAACAAATTCACTTTCACCCTAAACTCCAAACCTCAGTTTTAATTAAAATATTCTGGGTTAAAAACGCTCGCCGCACACTGTTCAGCCACAAAAAATCGTGACAACGTACAATGGCGGTTCTTTTAGAGCGGAATTATATGACACATTTCACTTTCGCCATGAAAGAAAATATTATTCCCTGTCATCCTTCTCGTGGCACATAAAACATATATTTGTCATGATCACTGCTGCAGCTATTCCGTATTTAAATTAGGTGGCGCAGTTTTATCGCCTTGCTCCAGATATATCAGCGATCCAAGATTTTTATTTATTTGTGCGTAAACTGTGCTTGATTTGGGTTTCAGCCAAAGCTTAACCTCTGGAAAGACCCAGCAACACACCGGGAGCCCTGTGGTACCTGCCGAAGTGTGCTTTTATTCCAGCTGGATCTCTTGGTGGGCGTGGTTCTGTTGCTAAGCAGCGAATGCTGAAGGGCCACTGTAAACTGACGCGCCAGTGTCACTAAAGCTCGCCCGCTGAAAGCTTCATCGAAAGCTCCACGGAATATACGCTGTTTGTATAATCGAGAGGATTGATAGTAGTGAAGAAGCATATTGTGGGCTTACGTTTTAGCGGCTTTTGTAAGTTTATTGTTTGAGTAATTCTTGTAGTAGAATTTCGACTTGGCAAGATTAAAGCGGGTAACAGGTGGTCCTATTTTAGATGCATGCACTGCTCTGGAAGTTTTCTATTTTGTTTTTCTTTTTTACAAAATTTTATAAAGATGGATTTTTAATCATTTATGGTAATAGATTTTTAAATGTCTTTTTGATTATTTAAGAAAGGTTGTTATTGGTTATCATTATTTACGTAAATGACTTCCAATTTGTAGTAAAGTCATCTTCATACAACTAAAGGTATTACCCTTGTTATCCACCCATGGATTTTAATTTTATTAGTGTCATGGCGTAGTCTCTGTAATTTTGCTAATGTAACAGCACCCGCCTGTGGTTTATTACCATTCATTATCATGTGTTGTAAGGTGTGTTAAAGCGAAAACGAAATCTCTTTAATAATTTATTATTCCGGGTAATTTCATATTAACGAATTTTTTTTTTTCAATTATGAGCTACTGTGTATGAGTGCATTCCTAATACGATTATATGTTTGTGGTAGAATTATCAAAGCGTTTGTTAACAATTTAAAAACCTGGATATTTTTCCTTGACATTTGTGAAGAACCGAAATAGTGATATTGCCTGTCTAAAGCTTCCCACCATTCCTTGAAACGTGTTGTGTTAATTCTGGATTAATAATGAAAAGTTAAAAAGCTCTATCGATTTTTGGTTGAAAACGCTAAATGTCACGTTCATCAATATGATCAGAAGAGTAACTAAGCCAGAACAAAATTACGATTTTTCTTGATTAATTTTTCTGTAATGAGAGAACAGACATAAAATTCGATTACTTTTTGTTGAAAAATTAGCGTTTTTATAAGGAAATTTATATTTTCCCCTTTTTCCTTTCCTGAAACACAACAAACGCGCCTTCCGTGTCAAGGCGCATAATTTAATAACTCCTTTCTTAAACATCTTTGTAATGATGTAAGTAATTAATTTTTTGTGGTATATTGTGTCCTTATATTTTTGACGTAACAGCAATCACACCAGTGTCATTGCTGTGTGCCTAAAATACCTCGGAAATTAAATGAGCCGTTCTTTGATAATCGATAAAATACATCGCTTCAAATATTTTTTTAGGAATCCGGTACAATCAACTCTGAAAAATAAAAGCTTATTACTGCAGCGGGTATATAAAGTTATTTTAGATACATTTTTAGCAAAGATTTATTCAATAATTTTTTTCTATATAGCGGGAAATTTTGTTATCGTTCTGTAAAGTAATATTAGCGTGATGTATTTTTCGAAATAAAAAACAATAAAAAAGTACAAATTCAAATAATTTCCGTAAACGTCATATTTCAACTGAGGTTTGAAATTGCGTCATCAATCATCATCATCTGGGGAAGGGATGAACGGAAATTTTCGACAGCACATTACCACCTAGATCATAATTTTAACGAACATCATCTCAATATTTTATTAAGTAGTTCTAAAAATTGGCATAATTTACTTAGAACTCCTGGTGAGACACAAACATCGACTTAGTAATTATATAGAACATCGATTAAAGTCTATTTATGCGTTCCCCCCAGAAAGTTTTTGACCTCAGCTCAGAAGATTATTAAATATACTCTTATTAAAAAATATGCCTCGGGATACCCTCTTGTCGGTGCTTGCGTAAGATATTTTTATTTTTTAAAATACTTTGAGCAAGATGAAGCAATTTATTTTATTGATTAAATCGAGATCGGCTTCTGTGAACTCAATACCGTTATTATTGGTGTTACGCTGTTTTCAACAATGTTTGAAACTCTGTTACCAAGTAAATTGATTATTGTTAGGTGAAATTAATAATTCCTGTCGTGTTGTTGTTTCTGCCGTCGTTAAAGAACTTTTTATGGCATATTTTGGAAACAAAGAAGTTAATAAAAGTGTGGTTTATAAACACTTATTCGTTTTATGACGTCTCACTGAAAATTCTTATTTTATAAATTACTAGCTCCACCCATCCACCCTGTCTTTTCTTAGAGGGTATGTCATTTGCCAAAATTCGTCTTATTTTAACAAGTACTAGCCCCGCCCACCCGCCGTCTCTTTTCTTAGAGGGTATGTCATTTGCCAAAATCAGTTTCATCTTAGCAAGTACTGATGACTAACTTTTCCAAAAAATGATCAAAATTTGGAAACATTACGAACTTACTTATATGCACAAGGCAGGAATTTTGAACATCTTCCCTAGTGTTTAGTAGGTTATGCTTTAAAGGATTTTGCTTTTGTTGGTTTTGTTTTTGTTTATAATTTATAATTATAAATGTCGTATTAAATGTTTTTTGGTTTATTTATTAATGAAAATTAATAGATTGTTTTATTAATAATAATGCAATGCAATAAGAAATGAGAAAGTAAGCCAGTAGTATTTAGGCATTAGGTGCGTGCAGTGTTCAACAACCATACAAATCGAAATATCGAAGAAAGCTTGCTATCGAGGATTCGATTTTGCATTGACACAAACGCATTATTCTAAGAAACCATAAACTCGGAACAGGAAATGGAGACGGCGGACTGCCACGATTTACGATTGTTTCTACATGTTTGATAACTTGCCTAATTTTTTGATTGCAAAAAATGTTTTCTTAGAATTTTGTAATTAATAAAGAAAAATTTGAAATACAGTCGAGACCTAGGTACTTCTTCACGCTCTAAAGGTAATAAAACGTCGATAAAACATAAAACTACTGATTCTCCAGTAGTTAGATTAAGTTGGGAAAGTAAAAAAGCCAGTATTTGCCGTTTAAGAAAGTATTTTCATAATTGTAAGAATGCTTTTAAGGTAACGTCTACGAAAAATAATAATATAGGAAATACATAGTTACATACTTTTTTAAGTGAAATAAAGATTGTATTACCACATGATATTCAGTTTGCTTCACAAGGAAGCATCAACCGTGTAGTTACTATATGATCGAAAAAAGTTCGTCTAGTAGACCATGAAACTTATTTTTAAAATAATGATGCTGTCATTACAGATGTTTGACACTTTATTTGACAGTTATTTAACTGTAACTGGTAAACTGAACAAGGAGTGTGTTGATGTTGCCAACATCATTATTTTAAAAATAAAATACATGTCCTACTAAAAGACTTTTAGATCAAAGTATTTTGCTACATTCAAAAACATATCTTCCATATTAGTCAGTTAATGAATTACATTACCGCACTCGAATAACTTACCTGATTCAAACGAGTGGAATAAATTTGATTATCCCACGCACTTTTTTAACATAAAAAAAAACTCTTGTTCAGTCTTGATTTCAAACAAATTCTGAAGTTATAGATGTGACATTTCTGTTATACGCTTTATTATCATAATCACGTAATTCCAAAACTTGGCTACTGCTTCATTGAGAACAAAATTTATTCCTGTACAATAATGTGGCTTTTATCAGATGTGAGGTAGCTAAATTTTACGTGATAAGTGAAGTAAAAAAAAATAATCAGAGAAGGTTTGAAAAGTTAGACTTATTGCACTAAGAATACAATATAGTATTAGACGGTGCTGATCTAGTGACAAATATAATGTACGAAAAAAATAATGATGCAAAACATTTAACGGACGTAGAAGAACAGACAGATGGCAATGGGGCACATATTCTTTCGTACTTTAGGGGTCATGAAACGTCGAGAAAACATAAAAGTAAGCAGTCGTCCAATGAAACCTATTATGGCACTTTTTTAGCTCACGCTCGGGAAAAATATAGACCATAAGGCAAAAAGTAGAGCATGTCAATCCTTTTTCGTTAAAACTGTAACATATACAGGGTGATTCATTACGCGCGCGTTCCTCGATACCTCATTAATTATTACAAATACATGAAAAAGTCAATGAACAAAGTTTGTAAGTTTCATTGAGGTCTATACTTTAAGTTATTTTTGACTATACAGAGGGTTCTGTTTTTAAGGCGTAATACACAACTTTTTTTTTTATAAAACACTCTTTACATTTTTAGGCATTTTGATGTACCTCTTCTTAGACTTTACAACCACAGTTTAGATAGAATAAGATACAGTACTAAAACATAGGGTGTTCTAAATTTCAAAAAACTTAAATATCGATGTTTGAAAATTGTAATAATAAAAAATATTTGTATAAACACTGTATATGGAAATTTAATTACACTTATACCACAAGAAAGCACGTACTTTTATTTATTCTTCAAGAAAATGTTGTGTAAGATGTTAAAAATAACCTTATTGCGATTTTATTTTGTCAAAAAATTTCAAGAAAATGTGAATAACTTTGGAACGTCCCATCGAAATTTCAAAAATATAGGGTGGTTATAAAACCTAGGAAGGGGCTAATGAACATACGTAACAATATATGGTATTTCATTAAAAAAAAACAAGTTGTGTGTTACGCCTAAAAACAGAACACTGCATAATTTAAAACAATTTTAGAAGGACTAAAAACTTCGGTCTATGAACTTTTTCTATCTGTAATAATTATTGAGGACCGGCCGCTTAGTGATTTACCCTGTATATATGTAAAGCTTTACAAAATTGTGTCTACAATAATTCCGCCAAATTTTTCTTAACTTTTTAACGAAAACTGGCAACTGCATGAGACAATTTTTTGCTGATAAAATTGCAAGTCGACAGAAAATTACTGTAAAAATTATACACTAAAGAATATGTAAAAAAAACTATTAGCTAATTTGTGCAAATAACCGCAGCTCTATTTAAAAGTGTTGTGTACATTTCCAGGCCAAACCGAAAGTGCTGCGGTCAGTTACATATTATATCCTTAATTAGATATTTTTTCTAAATTTCCTATGGTGTTTATTAATTTTTACTTTTAAGTAATTTTTTGAGTAGAAATATGACAATAGGTTCATTTTAAGTGAGTGCGTCAGTAATTTCCGAGTTGTATCCAGTCATATGATAACATTGAAACTACCCTATGTCAACTGTGTCTCAAAAATTTGATTTTATACAAATTTATTAAAAAACAAGAAACGTAAA